TTTGAAAGGTGATTAAATAATATAAGTGTTTTGAGATTTTACATAAAAAAATATTTTCAAAAGTTTTATACCATTTTCTATGATTACATTACAAAAATATTAACAAGTATCATACGAATTTGAATTCATGTGACGATATTAGTACAAAACCACTACGTTATAATGTTTTGATAAAAAATTTATAGTCACATTTCTTTTTTTTTTCACATTTAATCATGAATATTAAAAATCAGAATCATTTATTGAATGCAATATGAATAAAATACTACTATTTTCTATCGTTCCATCAAATTACTTGTTAAACTTATTATTGTTGATTAATCCATTAATCAAAACCTTACAAATCATTACCATATTTTCAACGACAATACAATACATATTTATATGAATCGACTATGATTATCATTACCATTATTCTAGAGGGCATTATTTAGATATATAGCCATTACAGAGAGAAAAACCATATGTTATACATATAAAATGCTATATATAGAGAGATAGATGAAAAAGGTAGAAATCAATCAAGTAAGTTGAATGTTGGAGTTGTAGGTGGCTCCGGCGGTCCAATCGGCGGGAAGAGCGTTCGGCGATTGGACCCAATTGATTCCGGCACTTCCGTACACCAAAAACCTCAAAGAGAGAGTGCCTCTTGGTGGATTCTGCAAATCGTGAACCGCTCCAAACACTCTTCTCATACGTCTCCACTCTTTGCAATCCTCCTGAAACCATACATACACAAAAGAACCCTTCAATAATCTTCAAACCCTTTTGCTTACAACAATATTTCAAGCACTAAGAGTTGGATTCCCTCTCGCTCGTCACATTTATCAATTCGAACGGTGTGACTAACGAGTTGAAATATATCATGCACGACATTTGTTGTCTCAAGGAGGATTTCACTTCTATCTCTTTTGTTTTTATTCCTCGTTCGGAAAATGTTTGTGCCGATGCGTTAGCAAAATTTAGTATTGTATCTTTAAACAATTCCTCCTAGTTTGGAGTTTAAGATGATAATACTAAGCAGTTTGAT